GGGGAGGGGGCTTTCTATAGCTTCATAATCAGCCCCTGATCCTGCTTCCCCACTGACCCACCCAGGCATTGGAGGGCACCCCTGTGCAGTTTGTGGGATGGGCTAAATGTGCCCTTCGCAGCAGCACTGCAAGGGCAGTTGGCAAAGCAGGGTGGTAATATGAGGACTCTGACTCAGTCCCTTATGTCAATAAGGGTGTGTCTACGCTGCAGTGGTATTTGGAGATAGCTAGCATTATTTCCTGCTTCCCCACTGACCCACCCAGGCATTGGAGGGCACCCCTGTGCAGTTTGTGGGATGGGCTAAATGTGCCCTTCGCAGCAGCACTGCAAGGGCAGTTGGCAAAGCAGGGTGGTAATATGAGGACTCTGACTCAGTCCCTTATGTCAATAAGGGTGTGTCTACGCTGCAGTGGTATTTGGAGATAGCTAGCATTATTTCGAAATAACAATGTGAGCATCTACACAGCCATTCTGTTATTTCAAAATAACAGACAGCTTATTCCGAACTCTGTAGACCTCTGTCTACGAGGAATAATGCCTATTCGGAAGTAGCTATTTCAAAATAAGACGGGTAGACGCTCCACTGCTGTTATTTCGAAATAGCCCCTCACCAGGGCCAATCTAAATTATTCAACAACAGTGCCTCCTGGGGCTCTAAATCAAGGTAGCGCATTTACATGAGGGAAGTCTGCCTCGGACTAATTTTGAGGCTTCCCTGCTGCAGGGCTCGACAAATGTACTCACCCGCTCGCCCATAGCGAGTAGATTTTTCCAGCTGGCGAGTGCAGGGGCGGACTGGCCCGGTGGGCCGTTGTGATGGGCTGGCTGAGGCCCGTACCACGGGCGGCGTGACCCCATCCGATCCGCCGGCCGGTGGAGGAGCAGAGCGCCGCTGGAAAGGGGGAAGTGTGGTGATTCTCAGTGCCAGGCTGCCTGCGTGCAGCTCTGGCACGAGGAAGCGGGGCGCGAGCCAGAGGGCGGGACGCCGGCGACGCCAGGAAGCTGGCGTGATGTGACGTCCTGACGTAACGGCCGGCGACTGCAGGATTAAAAAAGGCTCCAGCAACCCCGCAAAGTGGAAGGCAGAAGCCAGGTAGGGGAGGGGCTTGGGCTTGGGCTTGGGCTTGGACTTGGACTGTACTGTGTGGAGGGAAGGGAAGAGGAAAAATATGGGGAAGAGGCTTGTGCTGTGGAGAGGGGAGGAGGTCAGGAGAAGTAGAAGAAGAAAGGGGAAAGCACCAAAGAACAGGGGTGCAGGAGAGACAAATGCCAGGGGGCCAAGTGCAGACAATGAGGAAAAGGGCAGGAGGGGAGGTGCCAGTTGGAGGGGGGCCAGGGTGATGCTGGGAGAGGAGAGGGAAAGGGCATTGGAGGCTAGAGGAGGGAGAGGGAGGTGCTGGGAGAAGGCTTGAAAGAAGGAGTGGGCATGAGGAAGGCGGGGATGGAGCAAGGCACGTGTGAGGGCACAGGGGCATGAGGGGAACGGGGGCAGAGGGTGGTGAGGGGGTGGTGAGGGTATCAGGGAAAAAGAGAGGGTGGTGAGGGTATCAGGGAAAAAGAGGGCAAAGGGAGCAGGGGCAGTGAGGGAAGGGGGAGGCACCAGGAGGGTGCAGGTGTCAGAGGATTCTGGGGGGAAGCAGAAGGGCAGACACCTGCAGGGGAGGGACCAGCACCAGAGGAGAGAGACAGGTTAAGTGTGTAGAGAGAGTGGTGTTAGGAGAGGGGATGAGGAGGGTTAGCTCACATGATCAGAATGGGGCTACTGGAGGAGTGGGCACAGGGAGGAGAGAAGGGCTGGTGGAAGGGGGCTGGCCTCAGGAAGGCTGAGGGCAGTGAGAAGGGCAGGAATCAGGACAGCAGAGGAGGGTGAGGGGTTGGGGGGCCGCAGGCACCAGGGGAGCTGATGGAGCAAAGGGAGGAGACATGGCAGCAGAGGGAAAAGGTAAAGGTTTATAAGATATTTATTAATAACTTGAGTGATATTTATTAGTAACTTATTAGTAATTACTGTTTTTATTCTTATTAGGAATTTATGCCCTTAAAAAACACTTTTTTGGGGGGTGCGGTGGCGAATCCCTTTTTTGTCTGGCAAGTAGGGTTTTCCAAAATTTGTCGAGCCCTGAGAATAACTATTCCAGAATAGCTTATTTTGAAATAAGTGTGCAGTGTAGGTGTATTCTTAGGCAGCAGAGATCCCTGTAATATCTCTGGGCATGTCCACAAAGCAGGGCTAAACTTGAATAAGCTACTCAACTTGAGCTATGCTAATTGCGTTGCTTAAGTTGAAATAGCTTATTTCGACATTTGGCGCTGCCTACATAACAGTTATTTTAAGAAAGAGCGCTCTTCCCCCGACTTCCCTTACTCCTTGTACAATGAGCATCACAGGAGTCGGAGTAAACAGTCCTCCAGCTCAACATTATTTCGACATAATGTCAAAATAACTGCTTGTGTGTAGACACAGACTGTTATTTTGGAATAACATTAGTTATTCGAAAATAACATTGCTGTGTAGACATAGCCTCTCAGGGCCACAAGCATATTTTAGAGCTAGTGCCATTCTGCAGACATTGTTAGTGAATGGGAGGAAGGATTAAGCCCATCAAAACTGAACCTATCCAAGCAACTCATGGAGGGTTGACAGCACACACTCCAGCTAAGAAGTCCATAGTTGGAATGCTGGAGCCTGGAGGCATCCAAAGGCAGTCCTTACAGCCCAGACCCCCAGGCCTTGTTTACACTGAAGATATTTGTACTGTTAATGTAACCCACACACTTACTGGATATGGTTCACTGTCTCACGTAGTGACACTTAGACCACTTACAGAGAGGGAGAATGAATTTGCTTTACAGCAGGCATGTCAAACAGGCCTCTGGAGGGCTCCATATGGCCCAACTGCAATTTTTTGCGGCCTGCCACTACATTCTTATAAAAGAATAAAGTGTGGCCCGCTGGCCAGTCAGAGCACATGGCCGAGTGCAGATCACAGCCAGCTGACCAGCCGCTCTGCGCACAGCACCATGGTGACTGCTCACAGCCAGCCAGGCTGCTGTGTGCCAGCACTCCAGCACGTGCTCATGGCTGTGGCACCAGTGAGACCCATGCTTTAACCTAATCCCTGGGAGGGAGGGGCCAAAGGTGAGCAGGGGTATTGGGTTGAGGCGGGGGAGGGGCTGAGGTTGCCTGGCTCTGGGGAAGGGAAGGTGCATTAGTTTAGAGCAGGGAGGCTAGGAGTGCCTGGCTCTGGGGGAGGGGGGAGGCATAGGATTAGAAAGGGAGGGCTGGGAGTGCCTGGTTCTGGGGGGTGGAGGGAGGAGGTATTGGGTTAGAGGTCGTGTGTGCCTGGCTTTGGGGGAGGGATGAGGCATTGGGTTAGAGTGGGGGGGTACTCTGGGGGAGTGGAGGAGGATTAGGTTAGAACAGGGGTATGGAGAGTGCCTGGCTCTGGGGGAGAGAAGGGGAATATTTTGTAATTTATTTATTTATTCCCAAATAAAATCACAACATGTAAATTAATTTAGATCAATAAATATGTCAGTTTTTTGCAATTGCACGAGTATTATGTTTATGCAAAATCTCAAACTTACAAAGTGTCTGAAATTTTCACAGAAGCCTGTTCTATTTGATTAACCATGGTCTATACTTTTTTTTTTATTTCAACAAAACAAGTTATGTATCATATAAAAATGTTAAAAGTACCTTAAATTTATATTTAAATTAAAAATTATTTTATATGGGCAAATAATTTTACACGTCAAATTATTTTATTAAATTAAAACAAGACCTGAAAAATTATAAAATATACCTAAAACATAATCTGCCATAATAAATAATTATGATTTTCCGATAGAAGTACATTTTCTTTGGTGGCCCTGAGAGCTATCCGTTTTCGTTTGAGCAGCCCTCAGTAGGCTTCGAGTTTGACTTGCCTGATTTACAGCCTTACCTGAGCACCACCTAGCTTTTAGCTAAAGTGGTAGAGGCTCATTCATTAGGCTCCAAAGGTCCCAAGTTACACCTGGTGTTACATTAACACCTGCTTGGATGCCCCACTAGGGCCAAAAATATTTAATGAAATTAGAACATGTGGCTCATTCCTGAGAGATGAAGGCTAAAAGTGTTAATGGGGCTGAAGATAGAAAGATGGTGTTAGAATGAGATGAAGAAAAAAGCCTCACAGATACATATAGATACATGGAGCTTACAAAAAGTGGAAAATTGGACAGATGACTAGGGAGGGGTATAAATGTATAGCTCGAGAATGCAGTGGAGTTATCAGGAAGGCAAAAGCGCAATTGGAATTGCGACTCGCAAAAGATGTGAAGAATAACAAGAAAGGTTTCT